ATCGCACTAGGGAGGGGCATATTTGGACATAATTTTTTTGGGAAAGTGGGCGTGGCCCCTACTAACTTTTTTGTACATATCTTGAAAACTACGATAGCTATGTCAACCAAACTAGAGTCGTTTCTTTTAGGCATTTCCATATACAGTTCAGAAATGGAAGAAATCGGATAATAACCACGCCTACCTCCCTTACAAAGTTTATGTTGAAAATCATTAAAAGTGCGGTAACCGACTAACAAAAAACGTCAGAAACACTAAATTTTACGGAAGAAATATCAGAAAGAAGCTGCACCCAGGCTTTCTTTAAAAATTGAAAATGGGCGTGTTGTCGCCCACTTATGGACCAAAAACCATATCTCAGCAACTACTCAACCGATTTCAATGAAATTCGGTACATAATAGTTTCTTAACACCCTAATGACATGTACGAAATATGGATGAAATCGGTTCAAAACAACGCCTTCTTCCAATATAACGCTATTTTAAATTCCATCTGATGCCTTCCCTGTATAATATATACATTAGGAACCAATGATGATAGCGGAATAAAACTTTACACAAATACGGTATTTGATGCGAGAGTATAAAATGTTCGGTGACACCCGAACTTAGCCCTTCCTTACTTGTTTCACTATAATGTTGTTATATTTGCATACATATATTTTTTATAGAGCTCTGTTGCTCTAGTGATAAGGTTTATTTGATTCACCGTGTGAGAATGAAAAAACAAATTTCCTAGTTAAAGCTTTTATAAAACACATGTGCAGTTCTACACAAAAAATTAACTTAATTTTAATCACACTCTGGAGACAGGAAGAGAAAATCGCCTCGTTTATGATCAGCTTCACATAATAAGAAGAATTAATATGCAGATGACAGATAAAAAGGAACAAGGTGCTTTTCTGTTTTCTTCTGTCTATCTCAAGGCTGTACCTCCGAAACTATTACTCGGATAAACTTGAAATGAATTTAGGACAATATGTTAGAGGGGTTATAGAATTTATATTAGGGACTTGACTAGTGTTCCAACTGTATCGTAAAGTTCGACGCCTTGGATTCTATATATACTCAAAATATACTACTAAAAACTTAAAATATTCATCTCGGCTAAAAAATTGAATTAGATGGAAAACATTTAAGTCTGATTTATTTTATTATTATTTTTAAAATGGATTAACGCAGAATGCATCGACGAACTTAATTCAATTTTGGGAGATAAAGCTTCATCAAGGACCAGTGTTTATTGATGGTATGGTCAATCCAGTCAAGGTCGCAGTTCGCTCCAAGACAAATTGCTTGAAGATTATATTAAGTCAGTTGTTATTCCGAAATCTATTAGTGCTGTGCGCAAAGTGATATTGCAGAATCGTCATATAACCTATCAGGAGATTTATAGAACTAATATAACTAGCATACCATCGATATTGCATGAACATTTCATTGAACATTGAACAAAAATGTGTTCACGTTGGATCTCATACAATTTGTCAATAGCTAAAAAAATGGCGCATGTCGATTGGTCGAGAGAAATCAAAACGGTTCTTGAAACACGTTTGTGACAATGTGACAGGCGGTGAGTCGTGAATTTATACGAATGAGCTCGAGTATAGATAACTATTTGCTTGCATATCTAACTGTGTTCAGCTCAGACAACATTTCCAATGCGTCCTACTCTCACATTATCTCATGAAATTATAACACCTATAATATACTTCTTTTATGCAATATTTTTCTTTTTCAAGTTTATGTGCAACCCTGTCTACATTTACCCCACAGACGAGTGTAAAGTTTCTGATCTGTGGTGTATGATACTTGCAGACTTCCTGGGCATACATTGCTCCAATTGCTGTGCACCTCCCAAATACAGTATTTACATAATTTGCTCTTTTTTTGTTTCATATACGTAGCACCCTGCTATTTCTAAAACGTTTGTTTGCTTGTCTGTTTGTTGTTGTTTGTAGTTATAATTACTATTTTGCTTTGTTTGCGGACTGTAATAAAAAAATGGGGTTCTTTGTAATTGCAACGCAACTTCTCTCCCATCAACGCCAGCTTTTGAACTATGGCACATGCAAATGAAAGTTGTTTCACTTTTGATTGACACATAAAAGCAAAAGTTTTGCCTTCAGTCACTCTCGCTGCTTGAATGCTTTCTCGAATTTTGGTTTTGGGACTCGTTTATGCGCCTTTGTATCGTTCTAGTATATAGTTGTGTGGCGTTAACTTTTCAAATTGTAAGCTGTGCAGATAAGCGAAAATGACATAGCACTCATAATAGATATTATTTAAAGAGGGCTAATATTTGGGATTTCAACAACTTTGTTGCTCCTTTTTTTGTTTAGTTTTTAGCAAATGTTTTCATTACACTCATTATGAGTACATCCCTTTCGCATTAGTTTTAATGGCCTGCCATGTTGACCCTCTTATAAATGTGTTTAAAATGAACGAAACTTTTGTAAAAAAAAATGTCCCCCATTCACACATCTCCATAATAATAATGCCCTTCTTTTCTTTTTTTCATTTTAGGCAATTCAAATGTTCAGCTGCGCCTTATTTGTAGTGGTGACACCAAGCGCGTTATCAACTATGACAATGTGAGTACATTTTTATGCACATAACGGTACTATTTTTTATATACTTTACAAAATTAATATATGTGGGAATTTCAACACATTTTTCAATGCAAATAACACTGCTTAAAAATAACAGACGATTTTCTTGCCTTGCCGTTGTAACGACAGTCGGGTCTATGTAACCGGAAGGGATCGGATTTTTTATCCGATCAAGGGCAATCAACTTTGCAGAATTCTGCTGCTACAACAAGGCTGTAGCTTCGAAGCTAACGGAAGGAGGGAGTGTCTAACCTCTGTATTCAGTCATCTCTCGTTACTAGTCAATCGAAAATTAAGTTCAACATACTGCATAATTTACTTAATTTATGACTAAATATTCCCAAAAATCATGTATGTCCATATTTTTTATTTTTAATTTTTTTTCTTCTCAGTCGTTCTTCCTTGTTGCTGTTTGGCGCCATTTGGAGATTCCAAGTTTTTACTAAATTTAGTTTTCTTTGATGATTTTCATTGACAGCGATGTGGCGTTAAGACGCACGACAGTGTTTCGATAATCACCGCTAAAACTTAGATTGTTAGCGATAAATCTAAGGCACAATAAACCTTAGGTCGCTGTTTAAACCTCATTTATTTATCTAGAACCAACATGGCCTTAATTTGGTTCTTGATTTATGATAAATTTAGCACTCATTCTTAGCTTCTTCTTCCACGGTGAATTTGTTTAATTTATGTTTAGTTTATAAAGATGGTCTCAGCTACTGTGCCAAGCATCTCTTGCGATCTCCACTCGACGTCGTTTTTTGTTAAAGATACAGGTTTGCTAAAGGTATGTTGCTATGTGTTCAGTATTACACGTTTTATACCCAAAAATGCACACACATATATAATAAATTTATATTAGTCTCAGTCCTTATACCAGACACTTGTGGCAGCTTTGTTGCTACATATCAGATAAAGGACTGTAACCTTTAGAATTGAGGGGAAAATTTAGGTTAGATGGCTGATATAGAGAAATCGCATGTGGGCTGCTATATGTAGTCCTTTGTGAAGGCATAGAAAAGGGAACTCCTGTGTTCGAACTTTTAAATTTAACTTCCAATCTCGCCAGTTCGGTGGGATCTCTGAAGGTATACGGTTCCAAGTGTTTAAAACATGACCTCTCAAACGCGGTATAGTCAATAAGGAAAAGGTGCGTGGTTTCCACCAAATTTTCTTCTATACAGCTTTTGCAGATGACATATGGTAAAATTTCCAGCTTTACAGCATGGACACCAATAAGGCAATGGCCTGCTAAAACCGCCAGGGCCTGCTAAAAACTAGGGAGAGGCTACTCACTGAGAGCAGAGAGATCACTAGATATTTTGAGATCGGTCTTGGGTCAAAAAGACTTTGCGACAGCGCAAATGACTACGGTGGCTCAGCGCTGGCAAAGCTCCTTCGAACCAAGCTATCTAATGGTAGGACGCAAGAGGATATAAGGCCTGCTCCTTTTCTAATGATAGCGAAAAGTTAACTTAATATCATTCTAACGAGGCTCAGATGAATTTCTGAATGTTATCATTTATGTTTTTAACTTGTTGCTTTACCAATGATAATAATAACTAATAATGATATTATTCCCTAAGGCTATACGCGACCATATAAAGCACCCACACATGCATGTCTCCCCGCTCTTGTTGAAATTCTGCTAAAATTTACACCCCTCAATGGCGCACTTCAAGCAACTTTCATGTGTAAGTTACCCTCGACTATGCAAATGAGTGTGTGTGTGTGTGTTGTAAATGCACGTTTAAATCATTGCAAAAGTGTTTTAGTTGTATCAAGTGTAATAGCAATAAAATGAGTTGTTGTAGCACAAACAAAAGTTGCTCGCTGCATTGGTGTTGCCAGCGACGGCGACGGCGAAGGCGTGAGTTTTGCAGCGTCGAAAAGTTGGTGTTAGTTTTGGTGTTTTCGCGTTGCTCGCGGCATTACGGCTGCACAACGCGCGATTGTGGCCCTCGACACTCGTGTTGTTATGACCCATTTGTTTTTGTTGCGTTTGCCGAACGCGCTCAAGATATGCGCTGGCGGTCTCGAACATTCACTGCGTGTTCACATGTTACTATTGTTGTTGTGCGGTATGTTGGTAAATTAGAATGCGTGCTCGTGGTGCGACAAGTGCGGTGCACTTTGCGCGTGTGTGTGCGCCCGCGCGTGGGTACAACACTTTTGCGTCGGTGCGTGTGTGCTGGTGTTTCTGGTCATGTTTTTGGCCATGTTTGCCAATCTGTTGCAATCCACTTATGTTGGCAAGAATTATTTATGTGGCAAGTTGTTACGTTATTGCAACAGCGATACTTCTCACTAGGCGCACTAGCTTTGTTATTGTTTTCTATTTTAGTTAGTTATTTTGGCTTTTCAAAGTAACCCAACTAAAAGTTATTTATTTCTATTCAGATATTTGCTTGCTTAAGGAAATTCGTGGAAAATTCTCGCGTTTCTACATTTCGGCTGCCAACGGATGCGCATATTTTAGCACAATTTCCGAGAAAGCAATTTGAAGAAGTTACTAACAAAGTTCCCACTGTCACAATATTTTTTATTTTTAAGCAAATATTATTTATGTTCAGCAATTTATGCTTGCAAATGTTACAATGTTTCATTTTTTTTTTCAAAAGATTTATTTCGACGAACTCAAACTTAGGCTGCCAAGCATTGGAGCACAGCATATTTTTGTGAGCAAAATATATCTTTCCTTTTCCAAATTCTGTTTATACTTTTTTTTTGCAAAATACATCACTGTATAACGAAGTACTTAGCTGACGTAAAGCTTTCAGAAAAGGTCCCTAAAAATGTCCACTAAAAGTGTTCGATTCGTCAATCATTAGATAAAAGTCAATCGAACAAACTATACCAGTTACTCACATTGGCTAGTATTACTTGTACTGGGTAGCGCATAAGCTCAATGAAACTACTTATCTCCGTTACGGTTTTTGAGCAGTCAGTACAAACTTGCACATACGCTTATTTTCCATTCCCACCTGCTCGGTGGGATGTCTGAAAGTAAGTGTCTCACGTGCTTAAGTCGTGATCTCTCGAACGCGGGACAATCAATTAGGAAGTGTTGAGTTGTTTCCCAAAACTACGCTCAAAAGCTCTTGCGACAGTGTATGTACGGATGGTGGCTCAGCGCTGTTCAGTTAGGCTCAGTTAAGCACTCTTTGACCAGCCTTGAACGCACTGTTAATGAGTTCAAGGCTAGTATCGCCGCTCTGCTTATGGTAGCTGTAAGCCTGTATATACTTACTTACTTTTTTTGAACTTACGTACGAAGTCTTTAGTTTTATTTTGTCATAGGTCTGTCTCTTATACACATCTAGATGTGTATAAGAGACAGCTGTTAATGAGTTCAAGGCTAGTATCGCCGCTCTGCTTATGGTAGCTGTAAGCCTGTATATACTTACTTACTTTTTTTGAACTTACGTACGAAGTCTTTAGTTTTATTTTGTCATAGGTTGGCCACATCTCTTTCGTTATCCTGCATTTGACTCTCGGTCTTCATCTATTTTGTGCAGCTTGTTCTAATGGCGCCGTGAACTCCGTCTTAATCGTTCCTAGCGGACATGGTATTGTCTCTGCCTCGGATTCATCTAGAATGGCTCTCGACTTAGCCAACTCATTTGTTTTTCATTGCCGAATATGTTTCTATGACCAGGAAGCCAAATTATGAATAAGTTGAGTTGAACTGTAACTGTAACTAAGATTAAGGCCGTCCTTGCTTTGTTTACTACGGGATTTCATCATTGGCGACAACAAGGCTTGTAGTGCCGCCTGGCTGCTTGCGTAAACGGTTTCCTGCTGTATCCTGCCGCAGTTGTACAATAAAACTTCACAGGTCTTTTGTATGCCAGAATTCTTTTGGACTAGCATGTCCTCAGTCACAGGCGCGATTGTGTCGCGTTTTTTCTTTGGTAACGAATGTTTCTTCCGTTCGAATTAACACTTTAATAATCCGCGGTTTGTTAGTAAAGTTCATTCTAAGATGGACATGACTAAATGTACTCAGCTTGTCAAACGGACTAAGGTCGTGATGGAATTGTAACATATAGCTTCTAAAGTATTCATGTTCACTCAGTATTTCGGTTAGATGGAAGTCTAGATCCCCATGTTGTGCTTTTTTCCATGAATGAATGTCCGGGATTAGTCCGTGGGTTCACCGTCCTTTGGTTGAAGCTTGCCACCGTTGCTGCCACATTGTGATTTTTGGTTCTCTCCTCTTTTTTTACGCCTACAGACGCCAAATGTCAAAAGAAAAAAATGATTGCTCTCTTGTCTGTTTCGATTTTTTCAATAATAGAAATTAAAATGTGAAGATATGCCTAGTTGCAGATATAGACAAGTCTATATAGAAGGCTCTCTAAAAATCCATCATCCTGAAAAAGATAGCTTCAAGAAAAACGCATTTAAGGTTTCATTTCCGACCGAAATACTTTGGATGGCGGGTCGCCAAAATACCTATGGTATATTTCCGAAAATAATTTGAATTTTGAAAAAAAACTTATTGTAGTAAAAATCCATTTTTTTTTTTGACTAGAATATTCCCTTAAGATACCTTGTTTAAGGTATAAAAAATTACTTTGTTTTAGTTTTTTCGATATCTGACCATTAAAACGGACCTCGGTAGCATTGAAAAAAAAAACCGTTATACTACTTTAGCGATGTATTTTCATGTCCACATGACTTTTGTACTAAAAAATCAAATATAAAAGTTTTGAGAAGAGAGCAGCACTCAAAGATAGTGTGTAGACAAATGGCGAATCGAAAGCGCCTAATGGTGTGGTTGGTTCTATAATGTAAACCTTCGCCTATAAGGGATAAAATGTGCATACTATCTATGTACATATGTATGGATATACTTAAGTATCTTCCAAGTCTAGCCCGCTCAATGTTCGTGAAATAAAATAATTCACAGTTCATACTACATGTGATTTGCACATCATTCGGTGTTGATTGCTTATGCCGTTAACTGCTTGGCTGCT